TTTGGCATCTCTGGGGCCTTACCATCACAACCAATGCTAATAATGGCCTCATCACATGTGCCCCGGTCACGTACCCTGATCTGCGCTCCAAGACAAACCTGTTTCAGAGGCAGCTCATGCCTGGCCATGACAATGCAGTCAAACGGGAGAATGAAAATTTGGTCTGTCCTGCAGGATAGAGCTGTGATAACCAAGGCTTGAATATGCTTCAGTGACAGCTGCAAAAACATTTATGATTTTGCCCTTATATATATTCTTAATATTAAGAATCACATTACCTGTGGCAGCTCTCCAGAAATTGTAGTCGAGTAGCACCAGAATCAGACCAAACTCTTTTCTTGCTGCCCGTCCATCCATTAGGGGAAGAAAGAAATAATAAACCGCATTACAGTCAGTATGCAAGTATCCATTAAAGTCCTAAGAAATGCACAAACTAAACTTCCTTCCTCCAATTCCTGATCAGCCCATAGGGAAAAAAAATGTAGAGACCACAACTTCCCAAGGCTGTGCTTTGCCAGGTGGGTGGTTTGTGATTCTATGAGTCAGTACCAACAGTGTAAATAAAATACTCTGAAAGTGTAAGCTCTGCATGTTATATGGTGCAGATCAAACAGCTTCTGTAAATTGGCTCTGGGTTCCCAATATAGCCTGGACAAAATTTGTTGCTAACTCGGAGCCCTCCTTGTGTCTGGCTTATTTGTAATCTTCTGTCCAACCTGTCCTAGCGTGCACCAGCTACAGCTGATCGTCAGGGGCCACGCTAAACACTGCAATTTCTGATCACCAGACTCACCTTATTTCTGTTTTCACCTGTGCCAGCCTTTCTGTCAGATCCTGATATAAGGCCTCCAGCCTTGCAGTCTTGTCTCCACAGGCTGATGGTTGCCACGAGGTGTCAAATGTTTGTCTCAGGAAAAAAGAAAAGGGAATTCTTGAAATGAAGGGAAAAAAGATCACATACTCTAAACAGATACCTTATAAAAGTCCTGTGAGCAGAGGCCCCATGGCTATATCCATGCTAGCAAATTGGTCAGAGCTAGGTTAGAGGCTCCAGGGCACACAATGGCCCCGCATACACATGGACACAGTTTTGGCACAAGTGAGCTATCAGTCCCGCACGTGATGCCCGTTCAGAGGACTTCACAGGCCCGGGTTTGCCAAATGCCATGGTTTAACCCCAGCCGGCAACTAAGCACCACATGGCATCTCACTCCTCCCTCTCCAGTGGGATGGGGAAGAGAATCAGAAGAATAAAAGTGAGAAAAATTGTGGGTTGAGATAAAGATAGTTTAATAGGTAAAGCAAAAGTCACACGCACAAACAAAGCAAACCAAGGAATTCATTCCCCACTTCCTATGGGCAGGCAGCTGTTCAGCCATCCCCAGGAAAGCAGGGCTCCATCACGTCAAACGGTGACTTGGGAAGACAAATGCTGTAGCTCTGAACGTCCCCCCTTCCTTCTTCTTCCCCCAGCTTTATACGCTGAGCATGACATCCTATGGTCTGGAATAGCCCTTGGGTCAGTTGGGGTCAGCTGTCCCAGCTGTGCCCCCCCCAGCCTGCTTGCTGCTGGGGTGGGGTGAGAAGCAGAAAAGGCCTTGGCTCTGTGTAAGCACTGCTCAGCAGTAACTAAAACATCCCTGTGTTATCTACACTGTTGTCAGCACAAATCCAAAACATAGCCTCATACTAGCTACTGTGAAGAAAATTAACACTATCCCAGCCAAAACCAGCACACCAAAAACAGAAGGAGGGTTTGAGCAGTCATTAGGGTGGCTGAAGTGGGCAAGATACAGGGACAACTCCTGAAAAACAAGCTCAACCCAGACCTGCAGAGTGTGGGGAACAGCAAATGAAGGTGGCTGTTCTGCTGAAACCAACTTTGCAACGTATGGGTGTGTTTTTTTTTAATAGAGAAGAACAAAGCTCTATGTTCTCAAGGTAATCTTTTATTTCTACAACTGCTCTGTGTCATGTTTCCTAATGAAGACCCCAAATACTAACTATTATTGCAGACACAATCCCAGGTTGAGGTGCTCCTGCAGCTCGGATACAGGTGGAACAGACAGCAAGCTCCTTCCTGCAACCAGGCAACATCAGAGAAATCCTAAGCATGAGGCTTCACCATAAGTTTATGCTAATGCAAGTCTTCACAGCTGCTGCAAGGGCCTGTCCTGCCTCCCTCTCTCAGCACCTCCTCTCTTCTCTCCCGCTGAAATGGATTTTGGTTTTGTTTACTTGGATGGATTCCTTTCCAGTTAAATCACTTCATTTCCAGTCTATCACTGCGGACACTTTTTTTTCCTTTAAACTCAACAATCCAGTGTAAAATCTGCATTTAAGTCAGCCTTTCCTTGCAAAACTGATGAGCTTAGAGACCAAGTCCCTGAAGTCCAGGATCTGTTACACTATTTATACCGTTCTTTCCAATTTTGCTACCTCTTACATTGATTTAAGATCTGCCTGACCCTTTGGAGCTGAACTTGAGCTGAATTTGAGGAAATTAACCATCCCTGTGATGGATAGGAAGGATAGGAAGTAGAAAACAGAGCTTTTACTGAAATATTTCAGAGTCAGGAAATGTTTCCAGTCCTTCATCGCAACACCCCAAGGGACTTCGTAGAAGTATCCAGACCTACTAAGGTTAAACTTAGTAAGTTTAGCCAGAGATACCCCCTGTGCAACCTACCTGCTACCTTCTGCAGTCATCTCTCTAGGATCAGCACCCTTATACAGTCCTTCAAACACCCCCATTCTGCTGAAGGAAGAAAACTCGGGTGTATCCATGCTTTTACAGCAGCAGAAAATATTTGCTGAAATGAGTGGCAGCACAGGAAGCTACTGCGAGTGTCAGGCACTTTCTTGCTTTCACAAAAGAGCTTTTCTGCTATAAATAACAGAAACAAGCCCTTCCTTTTTACAGGAAAAGGCACTGTTTTCTTTGCACTGTATCTGGTACCACACCTTCCTCCAGCCAGTAAAGTCAGGGGAGGGGGAGGGCTTCACCCTGCAATATCAGCCAGAGCAGTTTCAGTTTCACCCCAGTCCCATCTGTTTACTCCTCTGTAGCTCCCCAAGCCACGCTACCATCAGCCATGGCCAGCAAGTCAGTCTTCATTGTCACTATAGATTTTTGCATGTCCTACAGTGGGTGGTGTTTTTCCCTTGCTCCAGGTACAGACCGAATCTGCCAGCTCTACTGGGGAACAGAGGAAGGGATCAAGACCCCAAAGACGCCCATGTGCATCTTGTTCAACCAGAAGTTCAGGAAGTTTGGCTGTGATGAAGTACAAGAGCCTGCCCTCCAAGAAGGTGACAACCGGTACTTCTTCCGGAAATTCAAGATGAAGCTGTAGGTTGAATGGTTACTGCTAATGAGAGTCAGAACTGTTCATTTATTTGAGGAGTGGGGGTTAGAGGAATTGGTGAAAAAGGGCTGCGTAAATCTGGTTGATGAGGATGAGTGAATGGAAATCAAAGAGCATTCTGATGAACTGAAGAAATGATTTATTTTCTTTAATTAGCCAAAGGTTTCACGGGCCCTTCCTTTATGATGCTGTTCATTATCTAAAGACAATAAAACCTGACGGCACACCTCGGTGAAGCCAAATACTTGTTCTTAATGAAAAGCTGCCCTCGGTCCTCAACAGGGAACAAGTGAAGCTTCCTGTAATTCAAAGGAGGTGGGCAACCTCGGGATCACCATGTTTTATACCTCCTTCTACCTTGTCTCTCCCCCCCCCAAATGGAATGCTGAAGCTAATTTAAAGGTGGCTAGCTGTGAGATTGCAACCACCACTTTCCTTCTGCCCCGGGGTCTCAGTCTGGTTTTGCTCAGCATGCTGCACATTTCCCCCTCATGCCTGTTCCTTCCCTCCTCTAAACCAATCCTGAACAATGCAAGGTTTTGTCTGCGCTCGGCATCCAGCAGCAGCAGCGGTTCCCCAAGCCCCTTAGCCTTTATTTCATGTGCCTGCCCTGGACTTAACCAGAACATTCCTGCCAGAGGTTAAGCCCAGGCGCCGTGTGGATAATCCAAGATTTTTTTTGCCTCCGGTTCCAAGTGACCGACCGTGACGATAATGGGCCCGTAGGTGCTGTCTGCATCTCACCCTGGCCTTTCTCCTGCCCCTTATCTCTCTCCCTCCCAGGCAGGTAGGGCTTAGGGATAGGACAGAGATCCCAGCTGCAAGCCAGAAGGATTAGGGTAGCGAAATGCCTGTGCTCCTGATCTGGCTGTCCTGCACCATTTATCTCTTGCGTTAAAATGAGGTGGCTTTCCGGGGCACTGCAGCCATGGATGCTGTGCCCATGCTGCCGTCACCATCCCCACAATGCTGTCATTTTGGGCTGGCAATACCTCCCACTCGCCAAGTACCAAGGCCAGGAGCAGCTGCGGGGGAGGCCTCTGCTAAACCATAGAGCTAGGGGGAAAGCAGTGACCATGGCACAAAAGCAGGACTGGAGAGAGTTGCTGGAGCTGGAAACGGGATAATTGGACTGAAGGACCAAGAAGTGCTGGGAAGAGGGGACAGCAGGGCACCATGGCGCCCACAGCACAGCAGTGGTCTTGGGAGCAAACCAGGAAAATTAGTGCTTGGGCGAGGATCGCCTTCAGAAAAGAGAAGACAAGCACTGGCCTTGGCAGGGGTGAGAGGGGAGGAGAGCTGATATTTTTCCTCACCACTGAAAACTCCCTTTTTTCCCTTCTCTCCTCAGACAGTGAGATCTTTGCTCTGGCACCTGATGCCATGGCGAGAATGCTAGTCCTCCCTCCTCATGTGGTTAGTTTCTTTCCTGATTAAAAGCGATTAGGCAGTGCTAAAGCCTGCAGAAATGTGTCCAAGGGGAACAGAGACAAAGACTCCATTCAAGATGTCTTAAATCCCTGGGGCAGTATTTAGAGAGCCCCGAGGAGAGAACTGGAGCAGAACCATCCCACCAGGACCTCCCTGTCCTTCTCCTTCCTGCTGCACCCTTCGTTGCCAACGTCTCCTCCGCCATGTCGTTCTCTGAAGCAGAGGTGCAAAGTGCCCGCGGCGCCTGGGAGAAGATGTATGTGGATGCTGAGGACAATGGGACAACTGTGCTGGTCAGGTAAGGACAGAGCCCATCCCGCTGCTACCCCAGAGGGTTGAAGGAGGAACAGCAAGAAGGACGGAGTTACCACCTAGGAGCACGTGTTGATGTTTTTCACGCAGCCCTTGCTGGGAACATTTTGATTTGCTGTGGTTCATCCCACCATAGGGAGGAAATGGGGAAGAGGAGAGATCCACACAAAGAAAAGTAAAAGGAAAAGGGGAAGGGGGTGGGAAAGGAAGAAGAGACGAGAACGATTTCTTCACCCATTTAAGGTAAAGAAAAGAAAGTGTGGTATGAAAGAGAATGGGAACAAAACATGGGCCCTCTTTTCCTCTTCCCCTTTACCTCTAAACATCTTTAATGATTTTTTTTTTAACTTGCATGCCCTCAATATTTTTCTTCTGATTCTCTTTCAGCCTTTCCAGTCCAGAGCCCATCTGTTTCATTGTATTGTACCCTTCCTGTTGGCTTTCCTCTCTTAGTTTTCAGTCTGTTCTCCTCTTCTTCCATAAGACAGAAGCTTCTTCTATTCACCTTTCACATATCCCTCTCTCATCTGGGACTTACATCACCTCCATACGCACTGATCAGTCCAAATACTATTTCTGGTTATCATACCTTTACCACTCCCTCTGGCTTTCTTGTATATCACATCTTGTGCCTGGATCAGCCTCAAAAAGTGATATGCACTGCTCATTCCTTCTGCAGCCTGCACAGCCTGAGGACAGTTAGGGTCAGAAACGCAGCTATAAAATGCTAGTAGCATCCAGTGGCTTGGCTCACTGGGGTAGTTTACTCCAGGGTTTTGCCTTAGTGTCCTACACCCTCAGCCCTGCCTTTAGAGAAGTTCTGGGGTCCCCAGTACAAGAGAGACATGGACATACTGGAAAGAGTACGACAAAGGGCCACAAAGATGATGAAGGGACTGGAGCATCTCTCCTATGAGGAGAGGCTGAGAAAGCTGGGGCTGTTCAGTATGGAGAAGAGAAGGCTCGGGGGGGGATCTTATCTATGCATATAAAAACCTGAAGGGAGGATGCAAAGAAGACAGAGCCAGGCTCTTCTCAGTGGTGCCCAGTGACAGGACCAGAGGCAATGGGCACAAACTGAAAGACAGAAGTTTCCCTCTGAACATCAGCAGACACTTTTTCACTGTGAGGGTGACTGAGCACTGGCACAGGTTCCCCTGATAGGTTGTAGAGTCTCCATCCAAAAGCTGTCTGGACATGGTCCTGGGCAACCAGCTTGACCAGGGAGTTTGGACCAGATGACCTCCAGAGATCCCTTGAAGCCCAACGGTTCTGTGACTCTGTGAAATGCAATCTGGAATTTGCTATTGCTATTTCAGGTGGATAACCGGCTTACACGATGGAGTAAACCACTTTTTTAAGAGCTTGACGAAGATGACTGCAATTGATGTATTATAACAGGCAATTCCTTTATGCGTAGCATTGAATTGTGCTACTTTTGAATAAATGAAATGAGCAGTACCCAGTACTCAAACAACAATCCATCAGAGGCAGTAAGAAAGCTTTGGGATGGACTCTAGGAAGGGGTTAATTAACAAAACCAATAGTAGGATTTCTCCATGAAAACACCTACCAAGGGCACAGTGAACATATCTGCTGTCCAGAACATCTTTGGGAATATTGTGCTGTCACACTCATCCTGTGTGAACACACTCCCACTTCTCTGTGGATTTTATCTCTACCTAACACTGAGTCAACACTGAGGAAGTGTTTTACTTTAGAAGCAGCGGAATAAATTCAGGCTAGGTAGGTTTTAAGGCAGAGTGAGCAAAGGGAAGTGCTCTGGGGAGAGGCGAGGAAGGGGACAGGCTGCTGAAGGCACAGGGGCTGTGCACAGATGGGAAGGGCAAAGGAGAACCAAGAAATGCAGGGGAAAGAGGTGTCTGTTCTAATAAAGAGAACAAAAAAGGGTGATAAATGCATAAGACAGGGCCTGGAACATGAAGCCATATCTGCATTGATGCCTTGGTCCACAAATTAGGACGTCTCTCGTTTCTCAACAGGATGTTTACCGAGCACCCAGACACCAAGTCCTACTTCACACACTTCAAAGGCATGGACTCCGCCGAAGAGATGAAACAGTCGGATCAGGTCAGGGGCCATGGCAAGAGGGTTTTCACTGCCATCAATGACATGGTGCAACACCTGGACAACTCCGAGGCTTTTCTTGGGATATTGAACCCACTCGGCAAGAAACATGCCACGCAGCTGAAGATTGACCCCAAAAACTTTAGGGTGAGCCAGCAGCCCTCTTCCCAAGGGGTGTAATTGTGATGAGAGGATGTCTTCCCCTTTGAGGGGTAGAACTGAGGAAAACAGGCTTTGTATATATAAATATATATATGCCTCAGAGAGTGGAGATGGTGGAAGGTGAGATGGTTGATGGCGGAAGATAGCAAGAATGAGAGATCTGGCATCTGTTGGGAAGGCGGCTATACAGCTGATGTGATGCAGGCAGGTCTGCTCAGGTGGGAGCTGCAGAGCTGCCCATGAGTTGTAGTGGGGTTTCTCAGTGCAACGTGATTCCCATGCTTGTCATTTAATAACAAGACACAGAAAAGCAGCTTAACACTGGACTTCACTCCTTGATGTCTATTTTTCTCTAGTAACAGGAACTGAGCTCTTCTGGGACAACTAAAGCAGCTGTTATTGAGCAACAATTGTAACAGCATTGCCATCACTAAACAAACACAGATAATAAATACAGGATCAAATGACTTGCCCAAGTCCACCTAAGGTCACTAGCAGAGTCCATTTATAACTATTTTGTCTGCCTTATGCAGCACAAAATGCAAAAAAAGAGGCACCTTTTGGCAAATGTCACTCAGGCACCAGGAAGGTGATTTCCAAAGCAGCGGGCCCAATTTTCAATAAGTGGCAGAATAAGTGAGGATTTCTGCCTGGAGAGATCCTGAAAAGACTTTTTCAGGGTAAAGATACACACAAAATAATGCTGCACAGAAAAGGAGTTGACATTTCAAAGTATACCAGCTACCTAGTGACTGTAAAGACAAACAAACCCTCATTGCTAGAGTGCTAGATAGCTAACAAGCAGGAAAGATTAGGAAGAAACTTACCCCCCAAGCCATGTATTCCATAGGTGTCCAACATGGCGCTCCTCGTGGCCTTAAACATTTGGGACTGTCCACTGTCAGGAGGATTGCTGTAGATGGACCAAGTGAACTGGTCCTATACAGCTGTCTGAGTGAGTGATGGGTGCAGTCAACATTAACTAGATACAGGATAGCTGAAGAAACCAGCAGCAGTGACTACATTTTTTGGTGAATTCTATAATGCACCTAATTTTCCATGACCTATTAAAAGCTCTGCATGCTATATGGTGCTGAATTTTTCTTGTACCCCTTTCCGCCCTCCAAGAATCCCAACTAAAAATATATATTTTGTTCTTATGCTTCTAATGTGGAAGAAAGTTCACACTGGTTGTTTCTTCCCTTCTCCTTGTTTAGATTATCTGTGACATTATCTTGCAACTGATGGAGGAGAAATTTGGCGGAGACTGCAAAGCTTCCTTTGAGAAGGTGACCAATGAAATCTGCACTCACCTGAACAATGTCTACAAAGAGGTGGGTTGGTGAGAATGTGCAACCTCCACGCTCTTCAAACATCTCGCCAGCACTGATTTGCTGCTTTTGGGCCTCCAGATGTAGTTGGAAGAATGAAAAAGTTTAAAAAAGAAAAAAAAAGGCAAGAAAAAGGCTTATATAATGTAGATATCAACGTCAATAATTTCCTTAGCAAACTGAGTTTCTACAGCTAAATAAAACCTGCAGATACATCAAAGCCAACCAACAAATCCTGATGTGCTTTGCAGCTTCAGTGCTCCAGGTGGGTTCCTCTGGCCACTGTCCTTGAAGACTACATTTTAAGACAATGACTTTAAGCTTGCTATTCCTAAGAGAAAGACTTGCTCCTTCCAGCAGCACCAGCCCAGAGAGGCACCGGCAGCTCTTTATCTCGGCTACCACCTCTCCATCCTCATGAATGATGAGCAGGAGACCATTTTGAAGCATCTCCAGGGACTTTGTAGGGGTCATTATTTAAGAGGCATGGGTGTGGTTTCATGTTTGAACTAAATCAGTGGGGAGAGTGGTGTATGGGAAAGACTAATGTCTGAGAAAGACGCGGGGAAAGTCCCATCCTGCATGAGCCAGCGGAGTTCTCCAACCTTGGGAGAGGTTTCTCAGAGTAGCTTTCAGTGCAAAGGGATGGCAACACTGAATGTGGTCACCAGTGGGTCCCTCTGGGCAGGGATTAACATCTCCAGTGCGTGGATTTCACGGTGCTACTGCCAGCAAATTGCTCTGGCCACTTACCCAGGAGAGGGCAATAGTATCGAGCTCACTAGCTCCTGTGCTACTCGCAATGCATCCAGCTGAGGGAAGTTGCTGCCTCACTGAGTGGGCAGTGTGGCGGGCTTAGCTCAGCATGGGATTTCTACAGCACTGCCCTCATCCTGTCCTGTCACACAGCCTGAGCCTCCCTTCAGTGCTAATTGAGTCCCGAAATACTTAATTGCTTTTCCTTGCATTCCTTAGACGTGGTGAAATAATCAGCTAATAACTGCAAATAACCACATGCCGTTTTGCTTCAGTGTAGCGCAATAAACACAGAGAAAGCAGATGCGTCCTCTCGTTTGTAGCATGGAAAAGGCATTTGTGATGTGCAGCAGTGGTAGCTGGTTACAGCGCACGGTTGCTGGTGGTACTGGGGGGGTTTACCAACACCAGCTCAAGCTCCCACCCAGGCACCCATCACACTTGCAGTAATCAGGCTCCTTGGGTAGTGGGAAGGGAAGCTTTTCACTTGACCATGAAACAACAGTTTTGTAAACAGCTAAAAATGCAGAATTCTCCTTCACTTGTGTCATGTCCTCCTTCACTTGTGTCCACAACTTGATGCGTAGCTTTCCTTACCCATCCCATTTGTTTGGCAAAGGATGCTGAAATCCCAAAGTCCAAAAGATGAACTCTTGCTGGAGGGGAGGATGGGGCAGGCTGCTTTATTTGATTTGGTGCTTTAGTCAGCTCAGGGAAAAGGGGAAGCATATTACATAGCATCGTCAAGTATTGTAAGAGAAGAACAAGACTTGTAAAAAAATATTTATAGTCTCAAATCCCTTTGAGGGCATACAAGTAGTTAACACTCTGAAAAGCTTAAAGTAATTTCCCCTTTCTATTTACTTGCTTTAATGCACATTAAGAGCACTATTTGCCATGACGACGGTTAGCTGTAATGACATGCTTGTCATTGCCATAGACACCCTAGGCTGACAGGGGCCTGACAACACTGGCCAATGGTTTAAAGCTCTTGTGTTTCCTGCTCCTGTGATGGAGAGAGGCATAGCAAAAGTAAAGCATGTGGGACTGTCGTGGTTTAACCCCAGCCAGCAACTAAGCACCACGCAGCCGCTCACTCACTCCCCGCCCCAAAACTAGGACAGAAACAAACCAAACTCAGGCTTAAGTAAAGCGGGAGTTACTTTTTAAATCCATTTACAAAGGGGGGGCACATAAAAATTTAAGAATTTGTGTGATGTGAGTGGTTTAGGAGTACATGGCCCTTTTTTTGTTTGTTTATCTGAAATTTCAAAGGACAGCAGGAAACCTTCCCAAGAGAGCATAGATTAGACGACATCTTGAGACTGAGGATACCTGAGCTGAGTTCCCAGTTTTCCAGTAGCCTCACTCCACAATCCTGCCTGACTTCCCTTGTACCTCACTATGCCTCGGCAAAACAGCAACATTCACATACTTGGGAGGCAAACCGAACACACTCTTTACTTACCAAACTGGTAAATACAGGGTACTATACATACTGTATGCATTCTTAGGGATAACTTTGATCCTGTGAAGAGAAACCTAAAGGAAACATCATACCTAAAGGTAGCAGGAAGAGATTTCCCGTGGAGCACCACCAGTGAGTGGGACCAAAGTCCTCACACCAAGCTTCATGGTTTTCTTACAGCTGTGGGACAACAGGAAGGTCTCGGTGAGAGAACAAACCTGTGACGTAGCACGGGTAGTATTACAAGTGCCTGTGACAGGTTAAATCAGCTAAGTGCCGTGGAGTTGTCTTTGTGTCTGACCTAAACCAGAACAGTGCAAATGTATGGAAAATATTGAGAAAGGGGAAAAGGAGTGAGAGGGAGCTCATGGAGGAAGTTTATCCCTTCGGCTAGTAAAATCAAAGTGCTTTGCCAGTCATGTTGCTGGAGAAAAAAAGCATCCCCACAAGCAAAACTTGACCTTGTAGAAACAACCAAACGCTTTCCTGATTCAAAATATTACCTAAATACTGTAAAAACACATAAGTACTTAAATTCAGTTCATCAACTTCATTGAGTGAACTCAGACCTTCCAATGGGGGCAGATTTGGGAAAGAACAAGGAATAGACAATAAATAAAGGATCACAGGCAAAGAGATGAGAGAAATTTAACTTGAAAAACTTCAGTCACTGTGCTGACAAAGGAGAAACTTACCCAGAGGAAGGTGTATTTGCAAGGAATCCCTGCGCAAATACAAATCAATGTTGCGGTAAAATCCAAGAGTCCGGTGGTGCGCGACAGCATCACCAAATCACTCTGAGACAAGCGCTACGAACATAACCAAGGCAATTTGAAATGACATGGAGTGTTTTACAGAAGTAGTTAACCTAGCTGTTGAGTCATTTAGGCCTAATAATTTTCTTGCTAGAGAGTCTGAGCCAAGCAGCCTTCCTGCCCCTGCCTGGAGCACGGGCAGTAGAGAGGCTCAGCGAGGTGAGCAAGGAGGGGGAGGTTGTCTTGGATACCCTGGGGGCTGCCCAGAGATGGGACTAGAGACCTTGCAGAGGATTTGGGGAAGCTTCTAGGAAATCCTTCTAGCAGGGCCCAGAGGAAAGCCCTCCCTTGCATCCACTCTTCCTGCTGGAAGGCCGTTTGCATTACTGGTGGTTGAAGTGAAGGGCTGCTTGAGCTCCTTTGCTGTAGAGCTGTGGGCATAGGTATGGATATATCCCCCAGAGGTGTGGCTTTACACTGAAAAAATAGGGGCCTCTTCTAGATGCTGTTTAAAACACCTGGTGATGGGTCAAAGGTGGCGAGGGTACAGCTCAGACAGGAACATGGTGGGAACAGCAATGTTTCTACCCCATGCTCAGTGCCAGGGCAATCACTTCTGTTAGAGCTGGAGGGGAGCAGGGGAGCCCCATTAGACCTTCAATTCACCTTCCTGCTTAAACAGAAGGTACCACAAGGCTTGTAATGGCACAATGCGTGATGAGAAAGGACTGCTGCCTATGGAAGATCATACTGAGATATGACAAATGAATTGTAACATCTGAATCGGCACTAGGAGCCAGCGGTCCCTGGAAGAACAGAACAGCCACTGAATTCAAATACCCATCTGTCAGGCATGGCACTCGGGCATCTCATAAAAGCACAGGTGTGACTCATGCTGCAAACCAAACCAAAAAAACCCCCAGACCTATTCTAAACTTAGTTTTCAACATTGCAAAATCTTTTTTTTCTTCTTTCATTACAATAGCTTGGTTTAGGAAAAGGGGATGTTAGAGAAGATGCCTTTTTTTCTTTACCTTTGCTAAAGCTAATACTGAGATAATGAATATTTGTAATTAGAATATCACTGAGGCTCAGTTAACCTTATATGCCATACCAGAGCATTTTTGGCTTATGCAGTGAGGTAGGTTAGAGCCAGTTCAGGGCATGGTTATAGTGGTCAGATTGCACATGGTCAGTATCAAACAAGCCTGAGGCACACAGGAGTGATCTTTTTCTGGTGTGAGCCAGCTGCATCCTAGACTGAATCATTTGCTTACTCAGTGGACAGTAGAAATGGCAGTCCTGTTGTACTGCAAGAATATTTTGTATGGTTGCTTTGGAGAGCCCAGGCTTCTGCTTCTGCCATCCCTGGAAGCACTTCACCAGGAGGAAGCACCACTGTGGTGTCTCTCTCTCACGCAACAACATGGTACTTCATCCCCCCCCCGCCCTGCACAACTCCATGGGAGCAGACAAATCAGGCGCATGCTGCTGGTGACAGGGGTGCTGCTTATCTCGATCCAGCCTCCCCAGGCTGTCCACCAAGGACACTCAGCAGCCACTGACCACTGCCATCAGGCAGAGCAGGCTGATCCTGACATGGCGCTGAGACTTCCCATTAGCACGAGCAACCAGCAGGGCTTTGTACAGGGTTACAAGCAGAGTCAGAGTTTTAGGACAAGAAAGAACATTGGAGCTGACATCTGCATTATGGTCCTACCGACCATCAAGGCAGCAGTTGCTGTAGCCTGTTGGAAATCAGCAGTTCTTTACTCCCATTGCTCTGTTGCAAACCAGTTTGAGCTCAGGAAGATGGCAGCAATTTGAACAGTTACAGTAGTTCAATGCAAAGTCCCCAACCCACTTATCACCTTCTAGTGATGGATACACAGAGGCTCGAGCAGGCCTTTGATGCTGGCGATGCCTGACGGACAGTGCTGTGAAAGTTGCCTTCTTTGCAGCCTCTCTGAGCCAGCACCAGGAACGATTTCTAACCTGTGTGCTCCTAACTGAGCATCAGCATCAATACAGTCAGCTTTTGTCAGCTCATTTCAGCCTGAGAAAGGGCTGTACAGCCACGGCAGTTCCTGCTATCCTTCAGGCCCTTTTTGACCTTGCCCGTGTCCA